ATATATATATATATATATATATATATATATATATACATGTATAAATACTAAAATAAACTACTACTTACTACTTGTAACAGTTTCTGTTTCAAATGTGCTTTATAAATAAAGTTGACTTGACTTGATGTATTACTTTTCCTACTTTGTGGTTTTTCACTTATCACGATAAACGAGGGACTACTGTATATGAATATGACTAAACCATCATGTATCAATAAGATGCCAGCTTTGTTATCAATACTATTAATATTTGGATCAATTCAAACACGACTAACAGACAGACAGCTGATGAGGGAGGAAACAGTTGGTCATGCTTCTCTGTGTTCACAGTTGAACCACTCAGGGGTCTACAGTTACAGGTGACGATGATGAGTTGACTCGTTAACCTTCTATCTAAAAGACCAGAAGAAGAAACTTCAGCTGGCTTCTCACCCACAGTTAGAGACACCTTGTGTCCTCATGGTCCCTGAGTGATAAATTATCCAACAGTAACTTCACACAGTCGTTCCTTAAAACAAGTGTCTGTGCTGTTTTCTTCTTCTGCTCCTTATTTGTCATGTGCTCTATTTTTTAATTGTATTCATTTATTATTGTATCTTTGTCAACAAGGCCACAAAATCTGCACACTTGTCCACTGAGGGGCTCAGCAGACCTCAGCAAACAGGTAAAAAGGATGACGTTTCGGCCACAGGCAGAGCAGAATGTCTGAATAACTGTTTCCAGCTTAAGTGAGCATGGACGCTCTGACGTCAGCCGCCCTCTGAGCAGCGAGGGACTTCCGCCGCTGCACTGCTGCCATCGTGGCCTCCGACATGCCATGATAGCTGTCCGTCTCCTGAGAGTCCTCGCTGTTCTGAGACTTGGTGCTGTCCTGCGAGTCCAGCTTCTGCCTCAGAGCTCGGCTCTGCTCCTCCTTCAGCTCCACATATGAACGAGAGAACGTGTGGAAAATAGACGTGACGGGGAATGCCATGAGCAGGATGCCGCTCAGGATGCTGCTGAGCGCCACCACCTGGCCTGGGATGCTTCTGGGCACCATATCACCGTAGCCGACCGTTGTCATTGAGATGACCGCCCACCAGTAGCTGCCAGGGATGCTGGTGAACTCCTGCTTGGCTCCCATTTCGCTCTCAGCAAGGAACACTAGAGGAGCAAAAAGAGCCATGGCCACGCACAGGAACAGAAGCAGCAGGCCGAACTCACGTGTGCATCTCCTCACGGTCAGACCGAGCGTCTGTAGGCCCAACGAGTGGCGGGCCAGTCTCATCACGTAGAAGATCCGCAGAGCTCGGAGCACTCGGAGAACCAGCCCAACCTTCTCCAGGTAGTTGTTTCCCGAGCCGGCTGGTTTTCCTCCCACAGACAGAGAGTCCACGATGAGGGTGATGTAGTAGGGCAGGATGGCCACCACGTCAATGATGTTCAGAGGCGTGCGTAGAAACACACATTTGCTCTGGGTCTGGATGAAACGCAGCAAGAACTCCAGGGAGAACCAGGCAACACAGACCGTCTCCAGAACAAAGATGTTCTTACACCTCTGGGAGCAGACCCCCTGCAGACGGGAGAGAAACAAACTGACGTTACAGACGTTTTTTTAAAGTGTTACAGATGGAAGTTAGAGGTTTAGACTAAGAGCACCTTGTATCAAACCTGTTATACGTAGAGATGTTACGTTGATGGTATGTGCACAAGTTCAACAACGACCTCACTAAACTGTGGCACATTTCTAAAACTGATTAGAGCTGATTGTTTTCTGAGTTCAGCTGTTTGTGGCAACCATCTTACACAGAGAGGCCTTTAACAGTGAATCAATCGTGAATGTACATTTAATGATTATGTTCTGAAAAACTTAAAATATGTTCAATGATTTCTGAGATATTTTGCTAACAGACAGACAAAATTGATTCTAAATCGGCGAAGGCAAAACTTTAAACAAATATCCTTGATAGTGATATACCCCACCTCTCGTACAGTGACTGCTGGACATGGGCACCAGTGACCCACGCGACCTGAAAAGGAAGAAGTGAGTAAAGATAATGGATGGATGGATAAATGGTCCTGGATATGTTGTTAATGTGAAGAATACACGTTGCAATCGGTCTCAGAAACTACCACACCAAATGTTATAGCTGTTATAGCCATTTTTAGGGCCGGTTTGATGTGGCAGCCATCTTGAATATTTTTTTTTATTTTAAAGCTAAATTCGCTGAGTGTGCATTCAAAGATTTCTTTTTGAAAATTGAATAAAAATTTGTCCGTAGTTTTATGTCTGCTAACAAACAGACCCACGTGCACAGAGGAATAGGTAAACAAATTATCCCTTTAGTTGGCAGCTCAGAACATCGCATAGAGAATACCACTGACTTTGTGGATAAGGTGAGGGATGTCATGTCATCATGGAGACTAATGAAACAATGGTGTCTTGATGTCACATGCCCACTGCTTCACCTGGGTGTATCCCAGGTACAATGGGTTAAATGCAGAGAACCAATTTTGACATTGTATGGGAAAATACAATGATGACAACACATAGCGCTTTACTTTACTTGACATCACTCTTTACGTGCATTCCTGTTGATGATGCAGTAGAAGTGGTCAGTTTAAGATTAAACTCAGACACCACTCTGAGCAGCAGGACCACGCTTTCCACAGAACAACTGTGTCAACTCTTGAAACTGTGCCTGCAGTCAACCTACTTCACATATGGGGAGCAATATTATAGGCAGAAACATGGGTGTGCTATGGGGTCTCCAGTTTCTCCTATTGTTGCCAACCTGTACATGGAGGAGGTAGAAAAGAGAGCCTTGACGTCCTTTTCAGGGACACCAACAAGTCATTGGTTCAGGTATGTTGACGACACCTGGGTTAAAATGAAATCTCAGGTAGTTCAACATTTTACTGACCACATCAACTCTGTGGATAAATACATCAAGTTCACGCGAGAAGATGTAAAAAATGGCAGGTTGGCTTTCTTGGACTGTGAGGTCTAAGTTTCAGATGGAGGACATTTGCAAACTGAGGTGTACCACAAATCCACCCACACAGACCAGTATTTGCAGTTTGACTCCCATCACCCTTTGGAGCACAAGTTAGGAGTCATCAGGACTCTGTATCACAGAGCAGACAGCGTCCCCACTAACTCAGGAGCCAGGCAGAAGGAGAAATCCCACACAAGACAGGCTCTAGAGCAATGTGGATATCCTAACTGGGCCTTCCTGAAAGCAGAGAAGAAACCCAAACAGGACTCCAGTCAGCCATCAGGTGAAAAGGAGGAACCCAGACCCAGACCAGTGGTCATTCCATATGTTGCGGAGTACCAGAGAAACTGAGATGTTTATTTTCTAAACATAACGTCCCAGTGGCTTTTAAACCTCAAAATACATTACGGCAAAGACTGGTTCATCCCAAAGATCCAGTCCCCCGGCACAAACAGAGTGATGTTGTGTATGTTGTTCAGTGTCAGGAGGGTGATCAGTCTTACATCGGGGAAACTAAACAGCCACTGGCCAAAAGGATGGCCCAGCACAGAAGAGCAACATCATCAGGCCAGGATTCTGCGGTCTACACTCATCTCCAGGCCAGCGGTCACTCTTTCAGGGATGAAGATGTTCACACCCTTGATAGAGAGGAACGATGGTTTGAGAGAGGAGTAAAGGAGGCCATCTTTGTGAAGAGAAGCCATCCAAATGACCTGACTGAACTTTGTTGTTCAAACTGGTTGATCCACTATGAGAAGGTGCTATTTATATGACTGAGTTTGCTGCAGGGTCTCAGACTGAAGATTTTTGGATAAAAGATGAAACGCTTCAACAAGAATAATCCATCCAGAGGACCTGACTTAACTATTTTAGATTGTTCTACCTGGATTATTGAGCATGCATCAGGACATTATCCCACACATTCACTGTTGGTTGGCTGGACAACAAATGAAAAAGAAGAACGTGTCGGTGAAGCTGTTGAATAAACGTGTTTGAAAGCCTTTGATTTGATTCTTGTACTTAACCACTGACAGAAATATTATGCTGTTAGATCTCAGAACAAAGAAAGGAAGTGTTTCCTCAGAATAAAACACAACAGAGCTGAGTGCTGAAAGATTCATGAGAATCGGAGCAGAAGCTTAGGTTGTTGAGTCTCGAAAAGCTTGCACATCAAACCCGGCCAATGGAGAGCTGCACTTTATCTGACAAGAGAAGATGATAAGAATGAACTGTCACTGTGGAGTTTTCAGTTGAAATACTCCCTCTCCTTTTTTGAAAAATGATCAAAAGCATCCAGAAATACTTGAAGCTCTAATTACAAGAGTAAGAGCTCAGGTATTACATCAAAGTCGATCTGCAGACTACTCAAACTGTGGAAACAGTTTTCATAGTTGTGTCAATACATAGATTTACAAATGGTGATGCTTTATCACCCACTGGAGGGAACAATGTTTTTGCTCTTCTCTCTCTCTCTCTGTTTCTCTCTCTCTCTCTCTCTGTTTCTCTCTCTCTCTCTCTCTCTGTGAGTGTGTGTGTGTGTGTTCATGTGACTGTTAGCAAAATATTACATTAACCATTGGACAGATTTTAGCCAAACTTGCAGAAAATAGCCATTCAATGTACATCTATAGCTAATATAGTTCAAAATGACTGTCACAGACAACTGAATCTGGAACACACAAATAGGCAATAACTCAACTATCTATCCATTCATCATCTTCCGCTTATTCCTAAGTCAAGTCACAGGGGCAACAGCTTGAGCAGGGAGGCCCAGACATCTCTTTCCACAGCCATCTCTTACGGCTCTTCTGGGAGGACCCCAAGGCATTCCCAGGCCAACCAAGAGACATAAGCCTGTTCCAGTTGGACATGCCCAATGTACCTCCTTAGGGAGGCACCCAGGAAGAATCCTTACTGAACCACCTCAACTGGCTCCTCTTTATGTGGAGGAGCAGTAGTTCTACGCCAGGTCTCTCCTGGATAGCTGAACTTCTCACCCTATCTCTGAGAGCAAGTCCATCTACCCCGCAGAGGAAACTCATTTCAATCACTTGTATCCATGATCTCATTCTTTCAATCACTGCCCAGAGTTTGTGTCCAGAGATGAGGACAGAAACATGGACCGACTGGTAAACAAAGAGCTTCACCTTACAGCTCAGCTCTCTCTTCACTACAATGGACTGGCATATAGTCCCCAATATTACAGATGCTGTGCCAATCTATCTGTCAATCTCACACTCCATTCTTCCCTCACTCATCAACACGAACTCGATTCTTGAACTCCTCCACTTGAGGCAGAACTTCACCCTCGACCCAAAGTGAGCAATTCACCCTTTTCTGACTGAGGAACATGACCTCAGATATGGAGGGACTGATTCTCACCCCAGCTGCTTCACATTTGGCTACAAACCACTCCAGTGAGAGCTGAAGATCACGGCATGATGACTGCAACAGGACCACATCATCTGCAGAGCAGAGATGGGACTTTGAGGCCATCAAATCGGACTCCCACCGACCCTTGGCTGCAATGAAAAATTCTGTCCATAAAAGTTATAAACAGAATCATGACGAAGGGCAGCCCTGGCGAAGTCCAACTCCTATTATGACATCCCATCCTGGGGTCCGACTTTAGGCAACGCAAACCAAACTTTCGCATCACTTTTAAAGGGACCAAAGATCCCGTAGCAGCAGTCCCATACTCACGGAACAACCCCCCACAGTGTACCCCAAGGAACATAGTCACATGCCTTCTCCAAGTCCACAAAACCCATGTAGACTGGATGGGCAAACTCCCATGACCCATTGAGGATCCTAGTGAGGGTAAAAAGCTGGTCCAGTGTTCCACAGCCAGGACGGAAGCCGCATTGTTCCTCCTGGATCTGTGGTTTGACCAACAATAGGACTCGCTTCTCCAGTACCCCTAAATAGACCTTATCAGGGAGGCTAAGCAGAGTGATGCCCCTATAATTGGAGCACGCCATCTGGTCCCCCTTTTTGAACAAGGGAACCACCACCCCAGTCTGTCCCCAGTCCACTGGTACTTGCCCTGATGTCCACACGATGCTGCAAAGGCGTGTCAAACAAGACAGCCCCTCAATATCCAGAACCTTGAGGAAATCAGGGCAAATCTCATCCACCCAGGAGCCCTAAAGCTGCAGAGTTTTTTAACTACCTCAGTGACCACAGCCCAAGTTAGGGATCCTGTCAAGTTGAAGAAAGAGCCCTATTGGACCTTGTTGGCTGGTGAGACTCCAGAGACAGCTGAGGAGTACCAAAGAGCCAAATGGTCCACAGCCTTAGCTGTTGCTGAGGCAAAAGCTCAGATGTGGGAGGAGTTTGGTGAGGTCTTGGATAGAGACTCTTAGTCAGATCTGAGGAGATTCTGACAAACCATCAGGTAGCTGAGAATGGGAAAGCAGTGCTTTGCTGACATTGTTTTTTGTGTGAAAGTGGGGTGCTGTTGACCTCAACCAGTGATGTGGTTGGGAGGTGGAGAGAATACTTCTCAGACCTTTCCATCCCACCAGCAAATCTTCTGTGGAGGAAGCTGAATCAGGGGACTTCAGGGTTGGTC